AATGTGCTAAATGACCACTTTCCTCACTGAAATACCCTGCAGAGACAATGAGCTGGGGTGAGGTGTCTAACGGGGTATACACCCTGGCAAGCTGAAGTTACATATGAAGCAATTTAACACCTCTAGTAAACATTTATAAACTGAGAAATTATTCCCATATGGTGGATGATCTAACATTGTTTTTTTTCACTAATATATCCCCCTCTTCACCTGCCTGTCCCTGTCCTCAATACATTTTTTTAAATTCTTTTTTAGCAGGAAGTACGAAAGAGAAGGGACAGTGGAGTGTGATGATTTATGTATTTATTCTCAGTTACTTCCACCTCAGCTCCTGCTGCTAAACAGCTGCTTGGAGGCCTGCTTCTCCCCTCGGGGTTTGCTGATGTCCCAGATGAATAATGTCCCCCTTCACCTCCCTGGCAGCTGGCGCCCAGCCGACGTGCAGGCAGGATGCTGACAGTTATCGGGAAAGCATTTGGCATGCAGGCAGCTGCCAGAAAGAAAAACTCACTCTGAGCAGACCAGGGTGGAGAGCATTTCAGATACTAAACTACTCCCTGACCCTTTTTGCATTTACAGTAATTATTTCCAATAAGGAATAAGCCTCCAGGGTCTGAAGCACTCAGTAATTAGTTCATCCAGGATTAAATACAAGAATAGTTGAAAATTTTGTATATTGTTTCAGTCTTGATCAGCTATTTTCTTTATCAATCCTGCAACAATTTGTCTTCTTTCCACAGGGTTTTTTACTAAGGCTTCTTCCAGGGAATGGCAATCATTCTAATGTCACTTCAAAGTTAGCCCTGCAATGAGCATGGTGTTGGGCCAGATGGTTTCCAAAGATTCTCTCCAACCTAAATTACTCTATGACTTTATTCTGTGATGTTGGAAAGTTTTTGGGTCACCTTCTGTAAAAGCTTAGGATCACAAGCATTTTGAAGGCAAGTTGGTGTTGGCAGGTGTGGTTGTTACTACTTTCAGGCTTTGTCTGAGTCCACATGCTTTTCCTTGTCAATGTCAATCAGTTTAGAAGTAAAATATATGTCAGACTTTTGAGACTGTCAGAGTACAGTTCAGAGAGTGTGTGACATGATTTAATGGTTAGCTGAGCACTGACCTGTGGCTGAGAAGCAAGTCAGAGCATCTTCCATGCTGTCCTCATCTGCCTGCAGTGGTATCCTACTGCAACTGTGATTCCTGGCTCCTGATGCTTTTGCTGCACTAATCATTAATCTCCCACACTTCCCATGTTTTTTACTCAGCCATTCTCTATTAAAATGTTAAAAAAAAACAAGAAAATAAAACAAACAAACAAACAAACAAAAAAACCCAAAACAAACCTGCTTCTCTCCTCCAGCCTAGCAAGGAGAGATTATTTTTTATTCTATGTTGCTTTCTTTTTTCTCTAAAGCCAGCTTTGTGTTACCTTATTTAAATAAGCGGTCACATTTGTTCTTTCTTTGAACAACTTCAGCAGGGTATATTTCTTTCTGTGGAAAATATGACATGAGGTTTTGACTGAAAGGACATTTTTTTCTTAGCAAATTTTCCACTTTACTAAAGCATCAAACATAATGTTAAATCTAACACTGTGATAGGGGGAAATGTCATTGATTTCATATTAATTTTCAGTAATGTAGTAACAATGCTATTAACACTGAAGCAACGCACAAAAAGAACTTGTTCCTATTTATAAATGCCATTTTCTATTAGGTGTGAGACACCTGAGGCACTGCATGTTTGGAGGGATTTTTGCACTTCTTGGGCAAAAGTTGCAGCCTCTTATGGCTTGGACTTGTGCCTCAGACACTTCCCTGAAGGCTTCATTAATTGCCAGTAATGCAAAACTTGTATCATTTTGCTAAATTATGCAGTTCTCTTCTCTCTTTGTCATGCCAGATAGGCATTGGAGGCTTTGGAAAGGAACTTAGACATAGTGTCTTGATCCCTGGTACGTATCTGAAAGCTGAATGAAGTCTCCTAGAATAATGGAGGATAGCCAGAACCTGAAGTAAGGATGTCATCTTCAGTGTTCTGGGAAGACCTTTTTCTATTGACACAAAGGTCAGAGTGTCTTGTAAGACTGTCAGTCTTCTAAAAAGGGATCAGGAGAGCTTGTCCTTCTCCAAAAACACTAGGAAAAAGCTCTCTCATCCATATATCATCATAGTGAAATATAAAGCACCCTTTGGCTGCAAATGATTATGCACAGCAGAAGGGGTCATAAAGAAGTATTTTGACAATCACAGAATTGGTTGGGAAAGACATCTGAAAGCATTGATCCAACCATTAATGAGCACTGCCATTTTCACGACTAAATCACACCCCTAAGTGCCATAGCCACACACCCTTTGAACAGGTCAAGGGGTGGTGACTCAACTACTTCCCTGTGCAGACTGTCTCAAAGTTTGATTACCCTTTCCATGAAGAAATTTTTCCAGATATCCACTAAACTTCTCCTGACACAACCTGAGGCCATTCCCTCTTGTCCTATACCTTGTTACCTGGGAGAAGAGGCTGATCCTCACCTCACTACAACACATTCAGCATCTCATGTCTTTCTTTCAGTGAGGGACCCAATACTGAACACAGGATTTGAGGTGTGGCCTCACCAGTGCTCAGCACAGGGGGACAGTCTTATGTGTTGATCACAATTCTTCTGTGTTCTTTCTTCATGCCCCCAAATCTCTTTGTGCTTCAGTGAGAAAAGCTGAAGGACCAGGAAGCAAGCCAGAGTTATGGCTATATACAGAAATAAGAAATAGGAGATCTCTTTAAGTCATGAAACCTCCCAGCAGGAATTGTTGTCAGCATCTTCTCTACCACAAAGCAGGCTGGGGAACTGCTTTCTGCACAGAAATATTATTGATGGTTATTCATTTTGCCGCTGGTCTCAGTTTCTCCGTTCAGGCTCTACTGCTCTTCAGCTGATGTTTATTCTCAGCTAGTCCCAGGCCTGGCACTCCACTGCCTTGTTCTCAGTATCCATGGGAACATTCACATTGTTCCACAGCTCAAAACAGGGATTCAGTGTCCACCTTCACTTTAGAGATTCACTCCTCATCTTCTGCATGAGAGAGTGCCCTGCCTTCCTACAGGACACAGAGTTTGAGAATAGGCTTTTCTACATTAATTCTGTATTCTTGTGTCCATTGTCTAAGTAGAGAAACTTTCTTTGCCAGGATCTGAAAAGACAAGCGCTTTTTTCCTGAGCTTTTGGCTGGCAAAAGTAAAGCAAATGAAGGCAGTTTCCCAGCCACTGTGTGTCCTCCCCCTCTCAGAAAGCTGGATGAAGAGAGACATGCCGGGAGTTCCTGCCTCTCCAGGCACCACAACTGTTCAGTAAGTCAGCACAGATACCGAGGCCTGGTCCTAAGTAGCTGGTTAATCCTTCCTGGGGACTTGTGCCTGCCTCCAGGGTACTTTCTACACAGCAAGGTCAGCAGAATGGAGCAGCTCAGACTTTCCAAGATTTGTATTTACTTGCTGTTTCTCAGCAGGGGTCACCCCATTGACACCAGGGAGGTCCATAAATCAGCTGCACAGTGATAGCACAGCTCTCTCGGCTCATTATGCATCTCGCTGCTGGAGGAAAGCACCACCTTTGGTGCCAAGTACATTAGGGAACATGCCTAGGTTTAAAAAAACTCCATGGGAGGGAATCACAACATTTCTACAGCTTGGCCTCTTGCATCACACAAGCTGAGCATGCTCCTCACCGTGTCTCAGGCGGGTGATAACAAAAGTCCAAGGTCAACAAACAAAATGAACGGCTTTAAAACAACAAAGCTGTGCTGGGGTTTGTGTACAGTGTTTGTTGCCACAATCTGGCCCAGAGTTACCATCTCACATTTCCCTGCCAGAATGATGGAAATATAAATAGGGGCTATAAACCCAAAGTATTTCCAGCTCATACATCCAAAGGATAGAAATTATAGTCTCTTAGCAAGGAAAATGTTCGAGGGTAGTGAGGTAATGGGACCTGATTACAGAGCTCATTTCTCTGAAAATCTTTAATACAGCATGGAAATTTTTCAATGTCCTTGATGCAACCTCTGTTAACTTGTAAAATAATCCCTTCTTTCCGTGGAAAAGCCCCTTCCTTCGAGAATGAACTGCTGAGCTCCATTTTGGGAACCATTTCTTTCCAGCTGCTGTTTCCAGATATTTTTGAATGGCTTTGAAGACAGAGTGTCAGCAAGGAATAAAATCTGGCTGCTTGAAAGATAATCCATTGCCTGTTGGCTTACCTAGAAAGGGCCTCACTTTTCTGTGCATTAGCTGAGGGCTGCTGCTGTTGAACTGTAGGAGTCCAAGCTCCACTCCTGCTAAGTAATATTGTGGAAGTCCATGCCATGAGTCAGAGCAGTGTATGAGGGGCTCTGCTCATTTGATAAATTGCATTGCCATGCCTGCCCTTCACTTGTTGACTCGCAGTCGTAAGAGCCTGGGGTGTGCTGCATATATAGTAAACTGATTAAAGAGAGAATGTGCGTCAACGTATGGATGTGTACGAGAGCTTTTTGAAATCCCTTATGATCTTCCCACCCACTGGGCATGGCTTCAATACGGAGCTCAATCGTCAGGAAACAAACTTGCTCCCTCATCTGCGTTGCACATTGCAACGAGCTTGCCAAGTACAGCCAAGCTTTTAGAAAGAAAAGAGAATCCCCCACCAGTGAATTTATGACCCTTGGCTCTGCTTGTGGCTTGTTCCTGTGCATGCCTGAGTGACATGGAAACTGCAGAAAATCTGTTTGGCCTGTTTCTATGCTCTCACACTTGCAGCTACATTGGATTTTTCCTTTCTTTTTTTTAATGACTAGGGGGTTTTGTTGGGTTTGTTACCTTATAACACAAGCAATACACCATGAGAGGCCCAGAGAAGAGCAACATGTGTTAGTGAAAAGAAATGGGAAGAATGGAAAAGAAACAAGGAGTGGTGAGGAGTGCTTCTGGAGCATTTGAAAGTAAAACACCATTCTCCTCATCTCTTCCAGGTCTTTCAAGCCGGATTTTGTCCTGATCCGCCAGCACGCCTACAGCATGGCCCTGGGGGAAGACTTCCGCAGCCTTATCATCGGCCTCCAGTACGGCGGCATCCACACGGTCAACTCCCTCTACTCCATCTACAACTTCTGCAGCAAGCCCTGGGTGGTAAGTGATGCTGCAGCTCTGCTGCGGGTCAGCACCGCAGAGGAGGTTGCTGGTACCGATAGAAAACCCAGCTCGCCTTCCAGGAGTTTCACACGAGTTGGTCTCTTTAGGTTAAAATCTAAACAACCGTAGGAATCCAGGAAGGAGTTTCTGGGGGAAAAAAACTACCAGCACTACTTCTTTATCAGCCTCTAGTTGTATCAAGGTGTTATTTCTTCACCCTGAGCAGGATGTTTCCTTGTCCCACTCTAAAGGATCACCAACAGCTGACAGTGCAGCAGCACCTAGATTTCTTGGAAGGCATGGGAAGGACCTACATGGGAAGAGGTAGAGAAAATCAGTCCAGTCAGGGTCAAATCACCACACATGTAGAGTTTCTCAACAGTCCCAGAATGAAATGCAATATTGTCATAAATTGTTGTTTCACTGAACCTGAAACACTGCACCTTGCAAACACTTTGGCTGAGTCAGCTCTTGATGAGGACTGTAGTGATATTATGATATTTTGCACTGGAAGATCCCTTCAACCATTCTTTAAATTTTGTCAGGTTCATGTGAAAATCTCAGAAAACCTTGGAAAACATCATCATTGGCTTTTCTCAGCCCCAAATCCCCAGACCATTTCTATGACCAGCTCCAAGGCAGCTGAAGCTGCGGAAGCAGGAGAGTTGGAAAGTTCACCAAGAGCCACAAGAGTAAGGCTGACCATGGCAGCACCTGCAGGAAGAAGTCAGATCCTGATACAATTTTGGAATTCGCGTATGGGTTTTACAAGTACTTTTGCCCCAAAATGTCTTCTCTGATCACTGATGCTTCCAGAATTGAAATTTCCCTGCATTCTTCTGGGTTCAAAGCAGGAAGCTACAGCTATATGGATGAAAGAAGGAGATGGGGCTTTCCAATATGACACCATGGAAAACATTTAGATATCTTTTCAGGAATTCTCTTACTCATTGCACAAATTGAGCTTGGGTGAGATAGAACGTTTATAGCAGAATGTTTATAGCAGATGATAACTATCTTCCTCATCACCCAATTAAGTGGGGTTTTATTGTTGTTTTTCTTCTTGGAATAAATATCCTAGTGTTCTCAGTGTGTTGGTTGGTAGCTCAAGTCCAGATGAGGTCTGTAGTGACTCAGACTTTTATTTCCACAATTGGGCAGTGTTGGATTTAAGTAATTTCTTACTAAAATGGTGCCAGTGTAATAAGCAGAGTCTTTTCAGTTTTCACCCCTTTTACAACATCTTTGGGGTTTGTTGAGGCCTTAAGAAAAATCTTGTGTTTTCTAAAAATGCTGTTGTGGGCTAATCACGGTAGTGAGAACAATCTCACTTTGCCATCATGGTATAGGTGTTTAATGTACATTTGACCTCAGTTTCCATTTGATTTTTCAGTTCCAGGCTCAGTATCACCTCCACATTGTTTCTGACAGTTGGTCCTACACACAAGTGCATTGGCCCTGGTGACCAGACAAAAAGCCTCCACATTTACACTGTCTTTTGCTGACAGTCCATTCCATCTGATTTTGAGTCAGTCAAGGCTTAGTTGACACTTTGCAACTCATGCCTTGTAATTACGTTACTGATGGTGTGAAGGGGCCTCAAGGTGTGAAAAGTCTATTTTTAGGCATCTAAAATAAAAGAAAACAAACTTAGCACACTAAGGGAAAAAAAAAAAAAAGTAGTGCTGGAAAGACAGTGTGGGAGAATTTGGCTCTGCCAGCAGCTTGGCTCTAGCTGCTCTGGGTCTGGTTGTGCCATGCTTTCCTCATGGGGAATACAGTTGGCACAGGCAGCCTTCCCAGAGGAGTCAAGGAAACCACTTGCAAACAATTTAAACAGGTTTGCAGAATGCCTCCTTTCCTTGCACATCACCCCCAAACCAGTGATTGTAACATGCTCAGCAATCTAAGATTGCATTGAATGAGCAACACTCAGATGGTATTTAAGCTCATGTAGAGATTGTAGTGGGGCCTTTGAGGGCAAAAAGCTTCACTGGCAGCAGAATCAGAAAATTTTGGTTTTGTGATAGCTAGGAAGTGAGAGATAGGGACACTTAGGTGCACGTTCCACTTTGATTGCAAAACAGACATCTTGAAATAAGGGACCTGCATAACAAAGATTACTGGAAACTTTTTTGGATCTAGAAAAGAGTTGAGATGCATGAAGAAATGAAATTAAATACCCCTGGGAAATGTGCTTTCCACTCACATTTTTTATTTTCTCAAAAAATGGTTCCATTTCATAGAAATGTTTATGATTTTGTGGAGGGGGATGAAACTGAGACTGCTTTTACTTGGCAATTTGCAACCACGTTTTATTCTCAGCAACTCTAATTACAATCAGCTGAGTTTGGGTTTGAGTTTACTGAAACATGCAGCCCCATTTTTAATGCCAGTTGCCAGGTTTCCAGTTCTGCAATACAAAAACTTCTTCAAAGATTAAAACAGGCACAGTTTGAATTAGATGTTTCTGAGAGAAAAGAAAAATGTATTTAGGGGGTTTCCCATTCTGGGAGAAACATCTAAGCGATCTAAGTTTGCATTGAGAAATAATATTACAAGCGCACTAAGCACAATGCTTCAACCACCAGTAATAATTTCTGTATTAGAATTCTAAGTTGCAGTCCAAAATACAGTGGGAAGAATCCTTGGAGTAGTGCTCACACTGCATGCAGGTAATGTCTGTAATTGCAAAGCAACTTTTGCATCTGTAAAGCAGCAGAAAATAAGAAGTATTTCTGACAGTCACCTCCTGAGTCCAGGAACTCCTAGCCAAACTGTTATTGACTGTCAAGGGATACAGGCTCCCTGATGGCCTAGGCACCTTCAAAACGTGTGAAAGGCCTTAAGGTCCTCTGAATGGATTTTTAATTTCTCTGCAAAGACTTCCTGCATGTAACTCTTATCTCCAAGCTGTCAGGCCAAGGTATTTCCCTTGCCTATGGGTTCCAAGTACCTAAAACCAGGCTGTGCCAAACCACCTTCCCCCATGTGTTATCTGTGGTCTGGATGCCATCACACTAAAACCAGTGGAAGAACAGAAAGCAAGAACTGCTGCCAGCATGTGTAAGGTGTGGTTCTATCTAGCAGAGCTGCTGACAGCAATGTTCCTACCCATCTGCATGGGGAGATGTTACTTGAGCTCTGTTATCAGGTATCTCAGAGGCTGCACCACGTAACGTGGGAGTGTCTTTGTCAACATCCTGTCCCTAACAACTGGTAAAAAAAGAGAAAATGGGAGGGAACTGTCCCATGAGGGGCAATACTAAAATCAGACCTTTTTGCAGGCTTGGCCCAGTGACGAGGCTCCCAGATGTCTGAATCTCTCATTTGAAACACTCGCTATTTCAGCAACAGCCAAGAGCTGTATGCTTCAAAAGGAACAAGTCAGAACATTGTCTATCAGCTGCACAGTTTCTCCAGTTATTTTGTTTGAGCTGTTTTCCCAGGATAAATGTACATTGCCTCAACATCACGGTGTCCATGGTTCACCAGGGCTGCGTGCACACACAGCAAGGGGCATGGGCTGTTCTCAGCCAGAGTGTTTTTCCTTCTCTCCCTGTCTCTGGCTCATTCTGTTTAACTTTTAAGCCCTGTTTGCTCACCTTGCTAGTCAAAACAGGGCTTTATTTTTCTTTTCTAGAATGTGCAGGGCGAGTACAAGTAGTTGAGAGAAGCAAGCTGTCCTCCTTCCACAACATCAATACCCTCCTTGCCAACAATAATTATTCTACATTGGGAGTTTTTCCTCTTATCTGCTGATGCATGTGAGGGTGGTGGTGGTGTTAGTGATGCGATACGCTGTCTCTTGATGTTTCCTGGATTTTCTTTAAATGCTGTGTTTTGAGCTATGAGATTAGGAAAAGGATTCTTTGCATTTGTCTGCAAATCTGCTGGCAGCTGCCTCTTCGGCATTTGGCCTGGGTCTGGCACACACCTTGCAGCCTAATTTTTTTTCACAGTGACTGCATGCCAAGATTTAACTCTCAAAGGGGTTGTTCTTCTCTACCAGCAAATCAAGTTTTGACTTCTCATGCAGCAATTCTTTTGGAGTCCTTAGACTAGCCCAGTAACCAGGAGAGGGGCCTTAACAGGGCTACTCAGTAGAAAACATCCTTAGTAGCTCTCTCTATCTGCAATGTAACCTTGGTGTTGCGATTTGGTGCATTTACTGGCTCCAGTTGTTGCCCAGAAGTGCTCAGAACATGCAAGATTAAGCGGCTAATGCTATTGGGAAGAAAGGGAGTTTGCTTTTCCTTCCCTTCTTCCCTAGATGCCTGTTTCCTTCCCTTAATCTGTGTGTTACTTCCCTCAGATGACACAGGGGTCTCTTTCAAGATTAATACATCCCTACCTTTGATAGGCAACTTGAGAAACTCATGCAAAGGACTTGAAATCTGTCCTTACTTGGCCCAGGGTGGAGACCTTTATTAATTGATTTTACCAAATTCTGGGGGGCTTGGAAACTGAATTCAATTTATAAACTACTTTGTAAATAGGACTCAATGGGGAACTTAGTCCTATCTACAAGCTCAGCAGGAACCAATCCCCAAACAATTTGTTCTCTTATGTGGCTGCCAGTCCAACCTCTTCACCACCAGTGCCAGTTCAGCACTCTGTGGTAACAGGGCTGTGTCTAAGCTCCTCCTGAGATTCTGGGGTATGCATCACTCTTACTGTCTTTGGTATATGAACCCTGCTTCAGAAATGTTTTCTGTCATGGTTATTAGGTTTCTCCCTTATAATTTTGATTTTTTTTCTCTGGGTGATGAATGATAGATCAAACAGGGAGGCTTCAGACAACATACAGAACAGTCTGCTTGCTTCACAGATGGCTGAAGCAGAGCAGGAATTTCCTGTGATGTGTAGCGCTTCTGTTGTTTTGGAACCTAACAGAAATCAAAACTCAGTCCTACCATGGGGAGCTTTGTGTCTGGTCGGGCACAACCCTGAATGATAAAAGGGTTTATAACGGTGATGATAGTGGTGATGAAGGTGAAGTTCATGCTGATGGGTGGGGACAATGACAAATGATCCTCCTTGTGTGTGAAATACCCGAGTGGCTGCTGTCCCCATTGATGTTACATACTGCTCTCTAGACACCACCCTCACAGACTGGTGCCTCCCTCAGACCTCATGGTAGATGGGACAAGGATAGGCAGATGAAGCCCTCTGTCTCCTGTCATTCATGAAGGGCTGTTGGGGGGCCCTTGGTTCACAATAAATGCCAGTTCTGATTAACAGTGGGCTTTACTCCCTTGGTTTGACACTCCGACCCTCTTGTAATTGCTGTCCCTTAGCAGTTCTCCTTCCCTCCAGCACAAAGTGCCTGCTTGGATTTGATTGTGAGGAAGAGATTCAAGGGACAGCTGTGGTTTATTTGGTCTCTGATGGGAGTGGTGGCACTGACTTCCTGGCTCTATCCTCTACTAAGAAAGGCTCCTCTCCCCAGCTGCATTTGGAATGCAAATCTTGTTCATAGTAGATCTGTAAGTAAATGCAAACTGATTCCCTTCTGGCTCTTGAATCCCTTCTACACTCCCTTAGTCAAAGGTTTGTGTACATAGGCTGGCTTGGCCATGGATAAATACAGCAGCTTCATATTTTCTTGCTGCTCTTAGGTCAAGAAAGCAAGATGGGAAAGACATGATAACGTTTCTCTCACCTCCTTCACCACTATCAGAACATTTTGCAAGCATTTGCCTGTTGCACAATAAGTTACTGACATCCACTGTGTCTGTTTTTTGTTCCCCCTCCCTCACCTCAAGTTCTCTCAGCTCATTAAAATCTTCAACTCGCTGGGCCCTGAGAAGTTCCCCCTGGTGGAGCAAACGTTCTTCCCAAGCCATAAGCAGATGGTGAGTAACTTTGCTTTCTTCTAATGCCACTATGGATGGGGTGGAGATGCAAGTTGGGCACAGGAAATGGTGGTGGGAATGCTGGGAAGAGTCTAAATTTTGCTTACAGAAAAATACTAGCTAAAAGGTGCTATGCAAAAGGCACTGCTTGGGAATTCCTTTCCTTTCTTGCCCAGCCCTTCCCTAGGTCATGTAAGGACCTTAAAAAAATGTACAAAGAGGCTAAAAGGCTCAAAACTAAAGCAGAATTCCATTTTAAAACAGTCCACAAAAAGCTCATCCCTTACAGCAAAGAATCACTATTCAGATAAAGTGGATTTTCCCTACTCCTGGAATTGTTTAAAATATGCTGACAATTTGGAACATGGGTCCTAAGAGATGTTTGTTTCACAATGTTAGTTCGCTTGGTCTGTCACGTGCTCACCATCCATGAAACATTTATCAGCCTGAAGGTACTCAGGGTAACTTGGAGTTCTTAAAAGAGTTTGTTTCAGCTTCTCATGTTTTCTTTGCACAGTGCTTTGGGGTCTGGTCTTTCTGTCAACAGCTGAACACTCAGTGCCCTGTGTGACTGCTGGGCACTGTACCAAACTCTCAGGGCACCTTCCACAGAAATCTGCGTAGGTGCCCTTAGTCCTGGAGAATATGGCAAAGAGAGGGGCTTTGTTTACAGCTGGTCATGGCTCTTGTTTTTCCTGTGTTAAAGGAAAGACTAGTCCTTTGTGAGTTTTTGCTCCCAACTTACACCCATGAATTAATGGCTCTTCCTACATGGCTGAGGCTTTGATGAAACCCTGTATGAACCCTGACCCCACTGGCTGGCTGAGCTAATTTCCCAGACTTGACTGTGAACCCAAGCAGCATTGCCAGCCTGAACATGAGGGTTGCTGAGATGTCAAACTAAGGCTCAAAAATATTCAATCCCGTCTTTTCTCACACGCTTGCTGCAGCACTGTGGGCCAGCCACAACACAAAACAGGATGTAGATACATGATCATCTAGTTCCTTGTGAAAAATCCCACTTCTGCCTGCTAGGTACTCAAATATTTTGAAATGTCAGTCCTTCACCTCTCTGTTCCAATACTCTCTCTCTACCTGTGCTGTGTAGACTACAGCACTTCCATGCTTCACGGGCACATCATGGAGGTAAGTACAGTCATGAAGTTGTAGTATCATTTAAGACATAAAGAAATGGATAGTCCTTAAACAATGTAACAGTGTTCTGCACATTTATAAGATTGAGTAGTCACGTACCTATTGCATTTAATTCCTAATGATTTATGAAGAAAGTTTTATGACATAAGTAATGCTTCAGGACAGTTGTGACTTGGATCACCATTTCAGGAACAGTATTTTCGGAAGACTTGATAAACGTTATTGCAAATAAGTTAGCACTTTTAGCACAATTTTCTTGTCTGGCTATCTGATACGTGGTTCCTCAGATGTAGATGTATTCGGTACCAGCAAAGTAGATTGGCTTAGCACTGATCTTAATTTCACTTATTTTCCATCTTTATAACTAATCACCTACTTGGAGATGCTATTACTTACTTTCAAAAGGGTACAGGAAGCTTTTTAAACTGTAGGTAATCTCATATGAAAACAAACACTACTGCTGACATGCAAGCCTGAGTAATCTGGTTTAAATCAGTCACTTCCCAACAATTTACAGAAGCAGCAATCCACTTGGGCAAGTTCAGGTCAGCCCTTCCCAGGTGAGGGGGGTGATCTGCTTCACAGAATGAATCTGCACAACTTATAAATATCTTTTCTGGGAGGATTTTCACAGCATCCTGAGTTGTGAGAATCTGAGAGGTCAAGTGCCTACACCAAGTGTGTGGCATTGCAGTCATCACCAAACACCTGTGGAAGTTGCTTGTCCACTGTGCACCAGCTTCTCCATTTGTCAGACAGGAATATACTGATCCCCTTTTACCACTTTCCCTTCACTCTCCTGGTGGCATTCAAATGTCTGGAGGCATTTCCAAGCTGTACCAGTGAGCACTCACAAAATTCACTGCGGTCCTTTGATGGGTGACCCCCTGGAAGTGTTTATAATGAGAGTGTTTTACCTCTCTGCAATGTGACACATTTTAAGCTCTTAAGTTCTCACACAGGGGACCCTCAACCTTCTATATCCAAAATTTTCTAGAGTCTACTTTCTAAGCCTTTGGATTAAACAGAGAACAGATTCAAAGATCTCTGTCATTCTTTCATCTCTGTAGAGACTAGATTTTCCAAGAGTAAAAAGTGAGATATAGGAAGTTTCTAACAGTAGGTCCATTTTTGTGAGCATTTTAACTTATCTGAAAATGCTTTTTCTGAAGCTTCTTTCTCATGAGAACAGGGCATTTTAAATCAGCCTTTAACAGTGAGCCTAAAGAGAGGACACAAGATTCTGATATTTTACAGCAAAAAAGATTAACCTCTCTTCCCTTTGCCATGGGCATGCACCTTTCAGACCTCCCCATAATGATCAGTTTTCTGGAAGTAAGAGCAATCTGGCAAGTGTTCTTCCAAGGACCTGCTGGTGCTACAGACAACCCTAATGAGTGCCTTGGTCTGTACTGACCTCATATGGCCAATTAACAACTGGGAGTCATTAACTTCAAAACTGATTTTTCACCTCTTCTGGGCTTATGACCACAGTAACAATCCTTAGAGAGAACAACCTCTTAAAAAAGGGGGGGATTCCTGAAGGGATCTTTGCCAAAGTGCAAGAATTGCCAGAGGTGGAATATCTGCTTTGGGACCAATAAAAGGGTATCAGGAAGGGGAAGGAAATTAATAAATCCAGTTGCAAATCCATTTGTGTACATTTGAAGTTGACAGAAACTAATATAAGTGAAGCAGACACAGAATGTCTGTGATAGAAATAAAACCACTTTACTGTTTAGAATAAAAGGACACTATAAAAAGTGAACATTATGCAACATTACCTTAAAAGACAATATACATTCACTGAATATAAAATTTATAAATAACATGGAGGAAAACTGTAAACAGTGCTAGAAATTTAGCAACAAATACATTCCTTCTGGACAAGATTTTTCACATGGGTTTGGTTCTCTCCCCAAGTTTCCATGACTATCAGGAACAGCAGAGTGGCTCTATGAAGGGAGTGTCAGAGAGAAGGAGAAGCCAGTACAAGCAAAACAGCAGCAAATGTTTAGTGGGTTTTTATGGTTTTTTCTCAAGACCCATAAGTAGCCCCGTAAGTCACTTACTGTAAAAAAAGCCAAAACTTTTTGCAGTTCCCTAAATTCTGTTCTGTCTTTCTAAGCTACAAAGCACATTATAAACGAGCAGTATTTTCAAAAATATCTGCAAGGATGGAAATTTGTTCTCATGGAGGCCTTTATTTCCAGCAGTCTTTACTTTAAAAACACAACAGTATGTTTCCCATCACTGTGAGGTAGCATTTCACTCTGACAAGTAGGAATGGAATACAATGATAGATTTATGTTTTAGAATAGTCCTACCTTAAGGGCCACGTAACTTGTCAAAACATGGGAAATTTAGACTTTAAAATGGCATTTCTTTCCCATACAGGGGAAGTAGAAGCCTCCCTCAGGAGGATTTTATTTAAGGAACTTCATGCACAGATCTCCTACTCTGTACCCCCTCCACTTTGGAAAAGGCAAAGAGAATCTAAACTTTCCCAAACCTTCAATATCTATTTTTGTCATTTTAAAGGGAAAAACACTCTACATCAAGTAAGGGAAGAAACATGCATAAGAAACTGAACAGCTTTAGTCTAGAAATTAGCTATGCACTTTAAAAAATATTTTGAATAATGTTTGTGTGTCTAAAGCATGGTGGCAGGGAGTGTGTGTGTAATCCTGGACATCTCCATTGGCAGGCAGAAGTGACTTAGCAAGGCAGAAGAAAGGAGAGCTGACAGAAAGGAGGAAGGCTCAAAGACTTAGAGCCAGTTCAATCCAGAATTTAGAGCCAATTCAATCCATGTAATGGCTTTCACTTCAGGAGTGCCTTCAGGCAGGTCCTTATTGCAAACACAAGCCCAAGAAATGCATGTCCCTGATAGCATTCACAGAAACAAAATAAAGAAGCTTCCCAAAAGAAATGTATTTTCACTGGATTCTTCCCCCTCCTTTCGGCTTCACATTTTGAAAAGCCTTAACAACTGTTTCTTTACACAGCAAGGACAAAGATTTGCCATCAAACCTCTGCCCCTGCCAGTCTAGCTGTCTGCATCTCAGAAACATTTTACTGTCTGCAAAACAAAGTGGGAATATGCTTCACTTTCTGGTAATGCATCTGCTGTTTTGTTGTTTACAAAGCACATAGCTACATTATATCCTACGTAGGAACACAAGTCCTCATAGTATTAGAACGCAATATTTTCACAATAATTTGAGTGCAATACTGTGATGTCTCAGCTAGCTAAATGAATCAGTGACAGGTAAAATACACAGAGCTGCAGTTTAATGAAAATTCAAATCAACACTTTACTGCATCAAGGGGCATTTTTGTTTAGCCTTCCAAAGCTGTGAGAAGTGGCTGCAGCTCAAAGAGACACCAGCTTTGTCAAGTCACCTTGAGCTTGAGGAGGGCCACATCCTGCACTGCTGACTCCAGACAATGCAAACACTGAGGGTGGCTCCATTCTGCCCTCAGTGACCCTCACAGATTTTGTCAGCCATGCAAAACTCAGAGATTGTTCCACTGGACCCAAAGGCCAAATCCATATTTTGCCAAAAGGAACAACTTTCTGAACCACCACCTGATCCTGTGATGGGTGTCATGAAGCACCCTACTCCCCCTCTCATCTCCAGCCCATAATTTAGGAGTAGTCACAGGGAAGAGGACTTTCTGAGAAGTGTTCCAAATCTAAATCACAGGAAAATCCAATAGACTTTCAATGTGTTTTGTGTTGCCTTGCCACTCAGAGCTGCTGGGAAAAAAATACAGGCAGCAGACCTAGGCACTTCTTACAGCAACTCTGTGAAAATGCCCTTTAAAGTTCATGCTAAAAATGAAGCTTTTTGCTGCAACAAGTCATCCAGCAAATGAGGCATTTCAGAGGGTGTACATCTGGCAGCGCTCTGGTAGCACACAAGGAACTTAAAAACACATCAGGGTCCATCTCAGACACTCATTCTTTTCCATTTGGCAAAGTAGTTCTAAACAACTCTCCAGTAATTGAGGTCACTGACAGTAAAATGCTGTATTGCCCCAAGCTGGAGTCACTGTAACAACTTTTTCCTGCTGGTGGCAGCTCTGCTTTCTAAGTGGAATGAACGGAAGATATATGGAAACTTAAGATAAATAATCATAATAATACAAAAATGAAGTTAAGCACAATCTTCTCCCTGCCCAAGCCCTCCCCATCCAAAACTTAAGTCACCCATTTTGTCAGCACCCCTTCTTCACCATCATTAAAACTTAAAATACTTTTATTTGATAAGAAAAATTATATTATAGTTTTCTTAATAATAAAAAACAAAATAGAATGAAAAAAAAAAAAAAACTCCAGTCAACAGCAAAGCACAAGACAGTAAGGCTTCTCCTTCCACATGACTGCAGGACATGGTATGAGCACATGCACAGGGCTATGCTTAACAGTGCCTAGAGGGAAACACAGCACTTGACACAGAAGGAATCCTCCGGGCAGCTGAAAATTTTATGATCCCAGACAACACTTATTAGGAGACCACTTTTCCTTGCCTAGCCCACACACACACTTCCTTTCACCATATAAACAAATGCAGCTATTGTAGCTGCAGGGGAGGAACCGTGGTGCAAGGAGTTACAAAGGAAACAATGACTGTAGCCACTACTGCAGATACACTGGAGCTTCAATATCTTAAAAGCAACTCATCAACTCGGAATGTCAATATTTCTGTCTTTAAAACACAATCAAACCATTCTTTTGTTTATAACACCAAAAAAAATCCACATCCTGTCAAAAATAGCTTATGTCATAATGTGTATATACATCTTAGTTCAGCAAAACACTATTTTGGCAATACATTTTTTTTTTTTTTTAATAATATGAGTTCTAGCAAGTCTCCCCTTTCCCTCTTGCACATGATTGATTTACAGTTGTTATTTTTGCATCTGATTGGTTTAAGGTGTTCACAAGCTAGTTTTGCTGTTGAAGCTAAGCTGCAAAAATTTCAGGGGCCAATGCTGCTCAAAACAGGATGGGACAACCCTTCTTATGCTCTGCTGTAGTTGCATTTACCTCCCTGAAAATAGGGGATGGGGCTTTTGTTTTTGAAACAACAACAACAAGAATACAAAATACTCTCTTTTTTTCTGGGGAAAGCCAGAACTTCAAATGTGCTGTTGCATTCACACTGTGACTGAATTAGCAAGAAGAGTTAGCCAACAATGCTTTTACCAGATGATGTGGTCAGACACACCAGGTAAAGTCTCCCACTGCTGGAGTCAATCACATTGCCAATCTCTCCTAGAGAGGAGGATTTCTTTTGGATGTCATTTTGTCCATGGTTTAGGCTGGGTTTCTTTTCATTTTGCTTCATTTGCCTGATGAATCTGATTAATAAAATCTGTTTCCCTTAAAATAGATTTTTCTATGTATTTTCAGCACTTAGTGCATGAAGAAGGGTGATGGGAAGCCAGCACATAGAAGAATACAGTGCCTAACTGGCATAGTTTTTAGATTTTTGTTTTCCTAAAAAAATAGAGATTATATTGCTACAGCTAATGATACATGTAAGAGAGCAAGAGCTCCATTTTTTTTTAATTTTTTTTCCTTTTTTTCCCTCCCATTTTTCCCTCTGGTGTGCAAAAGTAAGCTCCCAAATGTTGTCTGATCAAAATGAGTGGTATCAAAAAATGGAAAAGGTGATTACAAATTCAGTAAGGTAGCACAGACTTTTTTCTTTCCTTTCCTTTTTTTTCCTTTTCTTTTTTAAGTGTTCGAAGTGCTAGAATTTGCATGAAAATAGGCACTAATTTCATTGTCATCATCACGATCTGGTAAGAGTTAATGTCCAAAGGAAGATCAGCCACAAGTAAGGGAGAGGGGAGATAAGGAAAAGGAGAGCTGCTCAGGGATCTGTGGCATTGATTATCGTTTTGTCTGGAGGTGCCCATCCTCTGTACCAGCTGCAGTAGCCTTCCACCCTCTGGATGCAGGCATAGTGCTTTGCTTGATATCCCGAGTGGCCGAAGTTGGAGAGCATGTCTGTCCAAATGCACTCGTTCTTGGAGGTGGCAAAGCAGGGCAAATAGTAGCAGGGCCTAATCTGCAATTGGAAAGAGAAATCAGGTAAGGTTACGTGTAAAAACAACATTATATAAAATGTCTTTTTAGCAGAGACAAGTGATTCAAAATTCCACAGCCTCAAACCTTGCTTACTAATCCAAAATTCAGCCTTAGTTCTGTAAGCACGTAAGCATGTGCTTAGCTTCACACACACAGCTAATTCCATCATCAAAAGGGCTTTTCAGGTGCAGAAAAGTTGAGCTTATGTCTGTGTTTTTGCAGGCCTGATGCCATGTGCAAAAGTCTTAGTTCCAGTGCCAGGCTGTGGGGTTTTAAGTACTCAAAATGTTTACACAGGAAAAAAGCTGGACATATCTTGCCAAGCCTTTGGTACCTTATTTCATTCACCTGCAAATGATTCTGCATAGATTCTGAAAGTCTTCCCCAAACCAAATTAACTCCAACGGGGTATTAAAGGCATAGACTCTGCATTTTTATTTGATTGTCTCTTCTGCGGTCTCAACACTAAAAATGAACTTTACTTCTTTGTAAAAATTGTTGTCCTTATTTTTCTTCCTGGCTGTTCTCCGGCACCATTGAGTATTACCAAGCCAGGAGAAACAGAGTTCTTGGGCTTGAATGTCTGAATGCCACCTTAGAGACACACCTACCTTGCAGCTACAGCCCAGGTGATAACGGTGGTTCAGTCCTTTGCGCTGGGACAGAGTCAGCCGGTCCCATTTCTCATACCAGTTGCACAGGCCAGTGTAAACCTTCCCCTCATACACCCGGCCTTGAAAACAGACACATGGTCACAAGTTAGCACTTCTCAGCTCAAGCACTTCTCTCCTTTCCTGACATCACTAATGCTCTCAATATGTTTGGCTTCAGCCACTGCTCAGCAAATGCTTTCTTTTTATTAACTGGTTCAGGCATCTCTGGCCAGTGAGATAACAGCACTTCTGAAAGTCAGGAGTGTTGTGCCAGCTGAGAGCACCACCAGCAACATGCAGGTTAGTAATGCTCTCCAGCTCCTCTTAACAACAGAACAAATGAACTGACACCTTCCCTAGAAACAAGACTTGGCAACTGCCATATATCCATCCCCCTGCATCCCCCCATCTCATTCTCCAGCTCATTCCAAAACGAGCTTCCATTTCTGACACAGCCCAGTAGCATCCAGTTCCCTGTGACAGACATGCCAGCTCAGTATAAATTGAGAGCCATGAACCGTCATACAACATACTTGTCAGATGTGTAAGATACACTTCAGGAAAGAGAGGGACATCTAGAGAGTGAAGTGACTCTCAAAGTCACTCAGAGTAGAGTGCTGAACATCAGAATATTGTTGACCATCTTAACACTTAGGAAATTGTGTACAGAGCTGTCTACACTGCTGCCCATGTCCTTAGCAGGTGTGTGTATAAAACAGAAGAGGTTTTGCTTATGGAGAAGTACAAGGTCCTTTACCTGTAATCAGATATTGGTACTTGTTGACCTCCAGCTTGACTCCACAAAGACTCTCAGAGGCTTCTGTGTAGATGTACTGAACATGTGGCATTATCTGGAAGCCCCTGTACATCTAGAGAAAGAATAAAAATGCTTTAAGTCATCTTAAGAGGACAAGTTTCACTTAAGGTTCTTTACAATCTACATTCCTAGTTTGTGGTGGCAAGCAATAAAGCAGTAATTTTTCTGGTTTTTACAAGAATGAAGGAATAATGGCACTGGCTGGACTCATGGAAGTCTCCCTACCAGATCTGCTGGTAAAGCAGAAAAACCACCTGCTAATAAGCCATTGCAATTCAGCACAGGGACCAGTTTTTCCCATTCATATTAGTTCCAGTGGCACTGACTGAACAAAGTGCTAGTGATGCAGGCTCTGCCAACATCCTGAACATTTTTTCCCCCCTTATAAAGGTCAAAATTAGGGAGAAATAAAATTAGTTCAAGCTTGGAATCTTTGTCCTCTATGTGATTTAAACAGTTTCTTCCAAACTAAAGGATTTTTCTTTTAAACAGTTACCCTATTTTCCAGTGTTGCTGCTGTAAGAGTTTCAAACCTTTGGCGCTTGATCTAAGTCATCAAGTCAGACACCTCCTTCTCAAACGCGTAGCACATGCAATTCCTGCTGACCTCAGCAAGGACTTACTGTTTCTCTAACTCAATGAATGCAGACATTGAATTCTACACCATCTTCTAAAATTAGTCCCATACTGATGGGCGCCATAAAGAAAATATCATGCATACATAATTCCTCTGCACTCCTCCTCCTCCTTCATAATCTTTCTTCCAGCTCAGTTTATTCGAAACATGAGCCCACAGATACACTAGCAGTTGGATTCAGTCAGAAATTAGCACATGTCCCCATCTGACCTGGCCTTGCTGCTGCAGTTTAGAGAAACTCATGCTCACCTGTTAGCAGCATAATGAAGTCTTTGCATAGCAATGAAACAACAACTACATGTGTACATTGGACCCATTAAACATATCCTATTTTTGAAACACAGAGGATTATTTTCCTGAAAATTTAATCTTTAAATTTTATTTTTTGTCTTTTCAAAGCGTTCAGACACTTTTTTTCCCTGCCAACTCCACGAATGGCCAATATTTAGAAGCTAAATAAGAAATAATACAAGTCAGAGAGAATCAGTTTTCTTCCCAGCCTATCTTTTTCTCTCTCTTTACTGACAGACAGCACATTCAGTTTAGTAGTAAATATTAATTATCTAGGGAAAAGAGGATCAAAAAATCCCAAACAATCCCAGAGTTACAGATCTTTGCTGCGGTGTCACCTAAGCTGTAGTATTCTTCTCCAGGCTGCATTCTATTCCTTCAAGTCTCCTATTACCTCAGGGTATTTCACCATTCCCCCACCTCCTTTAAAAACAACAAATCTTTTTCTTTCTGAAAGAATATCTGTTAATTTAACAGACTTTATGCTAGGCCCAAATATTTAATATAAAACCATAAAAAATTACTACTAATTCTGCTATGCTGAGAGGCCAAATTATCTTTGGAGCACCTATGGAATGTCAACCAGTTAAGCTTTTTTCTCCTCAGATTCCCCTAATCAGTAAGATCTTGTAACAGTGTCACAACTCAGCAACAGTACTGCTGGGTACAGTAAAAGACACACTTGAAGAGTTTGCATTTTCCAGCCTTTCTTCTATACCCAGCTAATATGCAAGCACAGTACTTTTTTTTAATTAATCCTACTGTACCAACAAAAACTCATAGATTATGCTTGAAATATGACTTTGCATCCGTAAGTGGCCAAAGTCTTTCAATGGAGATGGAAGAAGTGAACTTTACCTAATCTCTGCTTTATCCCTGCAATTTTCTTTGTATCGGGTGACCTACTCAGATTTTCCAATCCAGTCAACAGAGCTGGAGATCTAGATTCTGGCATAAGCATCCTGTCTGTCCTTGGATGAGTTATTTAGCCCTCAGCACACTTTTGTTTCATGCTTCCCAAGGGTACTGTGAGGAAAGGCACATAGAATAAAGGTCACGTGTCCAGACCCCTTTCTAGTGGGTGTCACACCAAGAAGCTCAGATAATGGTATCTAAGCAGATAAAACTAGCTAAGATAACAGCTGGGGCTGCCCAGTCCCTCCAGGCAGTGCATTATCAACACTGCAGAGAGCTGCACACTGTGCATGGCAGTGCAAGGGATCTGTCACTCACAGTGCTGAGCTCCCAGTCATGTTGGGCTAATTAAGTATCTCTGTTACAAAATCTGCACATGGGCAGGCACACTTGGAGCCCTTTCTTCCTCTTGCCCACAGGGCTATGAGCTACCCGAATCATTCCCCTGGGAAGTTGCTCAGGTCCTTCCTACAGGACTGTTAGTCATCCCTTTTCTTATTACTACGCCATCAAGCCCAACCTGACTGCCTAGGAAGTTGCCAGTGATGCTGAAAACTGGGGTTTGTTTTTCAGCTCCTGGACCTAATTAACTGTTCACATTACCATCAGGGCCGCCACTGTCAGGGCTGCTAAATAAAGCATGCTCAGCCTCCCAAAAGGCACTTCCATTCAGCCCTCAGTGATTCATATCAATGGGAGCCACTGCCACGCTGACTGAACCCATACTGGGGCAGTCAGGGCCTCCCACATCTTCTGATGACTGAACAAAATTCACCAGTTGGATCTCAGTTCTCAGGGAAGGAAAAAGAAAGTTCGGCAAGGGGGAATCTTGCCAACAGATGTCCACTGTTAAATAAAACAATACCTTGAGCATTATTTTTGGATATACAAAATGTCTTGGAAGTGTCATTAGACCAGTCAGAAGAAACCAACCCATAAAGTTAGCCTCTGTCCTAACTGCTACCCTCATAGTTCTCCTGTCCCCACAAATGTGCATTTTTGGAAGTATAATAACAGAGAATAACATATTAGCAAGCATGACATGGTGATGTCTGCTAGTGCTGCTCTGTTTCCATCTGTGTCAGCATTCCCCTTAGCAGCCCCCACACTGCCTCAGAAATGCACAGGCAAATCCTGTGGTGGTTCCTGCTGCTTAAATTACTTCACCCTGAAAAATTGTTCATGATGTTCCTCCTTCTATTCCTGCCATGTGAGGTTGCACTAGATACCAAGAGCTGGGAATCAAACCTTGCCTAACCTTCAGCTACCTAAAATATAGGCAATTCACAGGAATTAGGCATCCTCTCTAGTTGAATGCCAAGAACAGACACCTCCAGAGCAACTCAGCCCATCCTAAAATAGCTACATACAACTTGTGGGCTGAATTACACTTTGGTGGTTCCTCTCTCTACCCCCATTGACAATCAAGAGAGCAGGAAAGAGTCAACACCTCATTTTAGTCTGTCTAAAATTAAACTAAATTAATCCCACCCCACTTCTTTCCTCTTGGGGCTATCACATTTCCCTCCATAGACTCATTTTACAGATAAGCAACAAACCAAGGAAAGTCTCCTTGCTTCTGGCAGCCTGTGCAGGGTGCTGCCATGGTCAACCAGGACTGTTTGTGCTCATGGAGGAGAAATATCTTATCTCCTTGTTTCCTTTGCAGTTTCCTGAAATAGGCTTGGGCCATTCTCAGAATGCACTGCAAGATCACAGAACACATAGGGGTTAGATCAGTCCTGTGCAGATTTTTGACACGTGATCTCAAAGTATTCTTATATTATTTGAGAAAGCAGTGAGGAGAGGCAGAGGTTGCTTGGAAAAGCACAAGGCCTCTTCAAACAACAAACCTGAACTCTAGAAAGCCTGGCACTGTTCTGTCCCTGTGGTCTGGCCTTGTGCTCCAGTCCAGGCCCCAAGCTGGTTTAGTTGTTAAATGCAGCAATGAGTCCAGAAATCTAACCTGCAAACTCCAAGGAGCCCGTGAAAGGACTATGGAGATGGTTTGTTGCCCTTTAAGGCTTTCAGTGCTTTCCACAGGCAATTCAGCACACTCTGATAGACTAAGTGGCTTGTTTGTTTTTCACCTGCAGGTGCAGAAGGGTTTATGCAGACTGACATGTTAGTTTTATCTTCAGAGCTGTTCCCATGCAGCTGTGTAGAGCCATGGGCCTCCTTGGTTCTCTTTTCAGCAGGACAGTTAGCTTTCATTGGAGCAAACAAGGGAGAAATTTGCTGTGTCACTCTGAACTCCCCCACTGTATGGATCTAAATCCCTCTTTATATTGAAGTCTCTAAGCTCAGCAGAAAGACAGCAGGGTTTCTAAAGAAGACAGTTGGTTTGTTTGTTTATGAAGAACTTTGTCCTCCGGACATTCCAGTCCTACTGAGCACTTTGCTTCAGGTTCCTTCCTGCCAAAGGTCACAGTTGAATGTCCAGTGCAACATCCCACCAGCCCACCATCTAAGCCACAGACATAAGGGCAGTTTGACCAACACATGATTTCCTCTTTAAAATCCCTCTTGCTTTTGTTGGACACATAACTTCCTCAAAAACACTGTGGAAATGCTTCTGCAGAAAGGTTCTGTGCTACAGAATAACCCAATGAAAAGAGCCAGGACAGGCTCAGGTGTCTTAGTTAGAAGAGGGTCAGTGTTCTGAGTGGTAAAGGGTAGTAGCTCATATCAAGGGACTACCATTATTCTAGGTCACTGTTCACAGTCGTATGTTAGATGGGAAGCACCAAACTCTTGGCACTGAGAAGGAGGAAAAGTAGTACTGGACAGACAAGGATGAAATCAGAAAGAGAAGTTAATGAAGCCACTGCAGTATGTGGACACTGAATAGTTTTGTGAAGCAGGGTACCCTTGCTGAACTGGAGAGTGACAAAACTGGAGAAGAAAGGCACAGGGTGCTGCAACCTTGATGAGGCCAACAACAGCCATTAAAAAAAAAAAAAAAAAGTGGCAGTGTTTTCTCATTATTGCCAACACAACCAGTTGTTTTTGGTTCTTTTTACAAATATATATTTCCTTTGGACTCTTGCAGATAAATTTTTAAGGTTAAGGAAGTCAACAAGCCCAGCACCTCACGCCCTCCTATACAAAGTGCAGGCATTCCACTCTTGTGGAAGAGCCATGCTAGGACCAGATTTGGCTACACGCATGGTTTTGCGACAGCTTATGAAACAGGCTTTGCCTCTCCTCCTCCCAGCTCTCGTGCTTAGCTATAAACTGCCTTATAAAGAGAGTTACTGTTACAAGGCAAGTGACTGTTTTTTTCTGAACCTTTACTTTGTCTAATATGTTTCAGATTTCTGCAGTCTCTGCCAAGCTTTTCCATTCCCTTTCTTTTTTTTTTTTTTCCTAAAGACACAAACCAGTCTTATGACTGGAATGGCATTGCCAAGAAAAACAATCTAGGGCTGATTTTTAGCATTACATAACAAGGGGGCAGTTTAAGAAAAAAACCCAGGTCCAAAGCAGCAGGTTGAGTGCAGTTAGTGCAGCAAAGGGTTAGAGCTCTGAAGAAAGAAACTAAAGAAATCAAACAACTGGTGTAGTTGTATCTCTTTTCATCTCTGAATCAATACTTCACAGCTCTTCTAAGCTGACAATATTTAAAAGCTACAATGCTCCAATTAGCTTTATATAAAGATTTCACTATATGATTTTCATTTGTTTCACACATGGAAAAAATGCTGTAATCCTAACTGGTGGTCACAAAGAAAGCAAGGAAAGAAGAGAAACGAGCACTCTCCCAAGGCTGGCAGACCCCCACCATAATTTCCTTCTTGGATTTAATGAACATGCTGCATGGAAAAGCTGGCATTTCCAGTCTAAGACTGTGCATGTTGAATACAAAACACGTCTTCAGTACCTAGAGAAGACCATCTGGCATCTTTTACTACCAGAAATCTTAAAATAATGGAAGAATTCAGGTATTCAGCATTGTATATCAGGCATGATCTCTTCCTGCTCCTTTCCTCTCTTCAGGCAAGTTTCTACCAATTGCTGGTTTCCTTCCATTCTGTATGGCCAGTACAAAAAGTGGAGGTGCTGTTAGGTATGCAAAGTGTTTGCTGTTACATGTCAGTTAGATTCCTTACCATATCTATTAGCCCGTGGGACACGTCTGCAAACATACCTTCATCTGCTTGACTGTGTATCGCATCGTTCCAAAGGGTCCATCTTTCATCAGCTTCTTCCCCACCACTTTAGCTCGGATCACTGTCATAAGGGAGGAAAAAATACAGCAAATTATAGACAATTTTATACAATATTTTTGCTATACCCTCCACTTAACCCCCCCCCCCCCCAAACTGTTTACATAAGTTATCCTGTAAAATAAACAAAAGTCCAGGTCAACATTCTTCTCAATTTATTCTAAGTCTCACACACAGTGAAGGCATGATGTAAAATGGGATGGCAAAGCAGGTGTTTTTTAGAGGAAATCCAGTTCTGTATGAAGAATAAGAACAAGCAGTATTTGTAGTTAAGTCTTACTGAAATCTGCAGAGCAGATTGTAGCTGGAACCAAGCAGATTAAAATCTTTGCACCAAGCAAAGTCTGTAATGCCTTAACTCTCAACATACAGGATGATGTTCAATAGGAGAGTACTTTTACATTGTCCTTTGTGTGCCCAATGCAGTTTCTTTTTCCCAATAAACATAACAACTCAGTACAGGGCACTAGAATATCCCATTATCTGGGATTTCACTACAACTGCTACCTCTGAGGTGCTACAAAACTAACAAATGCTCCCTTGAACAAACAGCTACTGTGCAAACCAGATTATTCAGCAGCCATCAAGTGCCCAGTGAAAGCTGCCAGGTGAGCCAGGAATCACCTGGAAGACAAACTAAAGCTGACCTGTCAGATCTTATGTATACTGCACGCATTTCCTCGTGGATAACAAGGGGCAGGGTGTGCTCTGTGGCACAGGTACTGCCAGTGTACCACCGATGCACCACAGCAATGTCAACTGAGCCCAACCCACCACAGATAAGGATTTTGAGGTCCCATAGATAAGGATTTTTTTTTTTTTAATCTAGTGGGAAGTTTACAGTCAGTGCTTAATGAAGGGTTCTCTTGCTCATCAATTTTTGGGGCATTCCACATACACACAAAAGAACATTTAAAAAACTGTTCTATTGATCCTCTTAGAAAAAGTTCTGCAACCACCTGCTCATCTCAGCAGAGAAGAAAAGCTCAGGGACAAGGCAGGCATTATCCATTTTAATCTATCACAGAACACCAAATCAAAATGCAGGGAAGTATAGAAAGGAGCCAAAGAGGTGGAAGCAAGAAAACACAGTGAGTTATTTGCATTAGAGAACTATCTAACAGCAGCAATAAAGTTCAAGGATACATTTTGCTGAATACAAAGGACATTAAATAAGCATCTTGTTGCATCTTAGCTTACTTAGGTTTCAAATCTGTAGAAGCTCACTGGAAGGAATTGAAAAAAGAGAAGACTAAGGTTGTTTTTTTTTTTCACTACCTAGGTCCCACCAAGGAGGCAAAAAGCTTGTCCCAGCTTTTGGAATAATCAGAAAAACAGAGTTAAAGGAATAGATAGGTCTGATTTTACACACCAGTTCCTGGTCCTTGTTCCACAAGGGTGGTGTTAAATGAAGACAAATCCACTCTACTCTGATTTATATCCTGTTCTGCAGCCAGATTTGTTAAAGAAATTTTAAACTAGGTAAGACAGTCCTGGCTTTGATTCAAAGAACCAACAAAACCTTCATTCATTGAGTGTAAAACTTCTATTTTTTTAAAACTTCTATTTTCCAATGGCAGTAAGAACAATTTTATTGATTCTTCTATTTAACAAGTTGTTCCAACTTCAATTTACTCTCATCTTCAAACTTTAGTAGCTATATTGAACCACGTGCTTGAGGACTGCAAATAGCTTTAAAGAACTAGCTTCCTCCACTTGCTGCCCCCAACCACCACAACCATCAGCAAAGCTACAGAAACCAAAATGTCCAAGGGTCAGGGAGAAAGAACACGATTCCTTAAGGCTTTGTGAATTCCAGGATAACTCATTAACAGTGGAGTCTACAGCAGAGAGTGTCAAAAGTCTTATCTTCATCTGCTGATACACTGAAATTGAAAAAAACTGGTGTTTGCCCAACACATCTAACATGAACAAAAAAAATCGTATATCTTATAAACAATTATAAGAAATATACTAAAAGGCAGTATTACAAAATGCTAGGGCTTCCAAACCAGAACACAGTTAGCATATAAGATCACAAGCACATTCTCAGTTGCTGACAAAATACCTAAAAAACCCATTTTCTTCATGTATTTCACTCCTAGCTTGTCAGTTCTTTGACTTCTAGTTAGGGTACCACAGCCATTTCAGACAGAAGTTTTGATTTATGGACTAATCAACAGCTTCACCAATTATTCAAAATGCATATTTCCACCAGGACATAAGAGCATTCGGATTTCAACTAATAATACCCTTGCAAGTAAGTAGAAGGGTCTGTATTTTCCTATTATTGTTCCCTAATAAAGTTGGAGAACAACCATCCTAGCAAATTCCGAGAAAATTACCTAGAAAAGCCATGACAAACCTTAGTGTGGGCTATCACCTCAAGCCTTTTGTAAGAGGGTCAAGCCCTCTGTTTTTCAGAGAACTTGCCTTTATCACTCCAATGGTAATGTTTCTAGCTAAGCTCTTTGCTGAAGAGCTAGAAATTAAAAAATAATTTTCCCTGCATAATATTTCCCATATTAAAGGAAAAAACAAACTGTTAGGCAAGTAGTAGAGCATGTTCCAAGTCTATCACCTGTATTTTGTGAGGTCAAGTTCCCACCCCTGAGGATGAGATGTCTCTGAGCCACTGTAGAGAAATGCTGGATGGACAGAACTGGTCACAATGCTCTTGCATGTGCAGCTTCAAACCCCTAAGGCTCCACAAAGGAGAGCCACTTGTGTCCACACCTTGCTCAGAGCAGAGCTCCACTCTGCACACCTGCAGCCACTGTTTCCTGGTCCCTATCTTTGCTCCTGGAAGCCACCACTCCCCAGTTATATAGCTGGGCCACTCTTCACACATGACTAGAAAATAAAAAAACATTGCTCCTGACTGAGAAGGGGCCATGCATACTTGCCAGAGGAACTTTTCACCCTCTGCAAATTACCTGCAATTTACAGCATTTCTGTTGCAAATTCAGTCCATGTTAATTTAATTAAGTCGATTGCTTACTGCTGCAGACTCCTACTTCTTGAGCAGAATGAGGCAAAAGGTGCTGTGACTGCTCTCCTGAGCTCCTCCCTTCTCCTTGAAGCTCTGTTACAGTCCTGCTATTACTGATGGGAAACTTTATCCCACACAAGTGGTCACCAAAATAGCTGCATATTTTTAAACCGCAATTCCTTTGAAGCACTGCCTATGAAAATACTCCAAGATGAATGTTTCTCAGTACTTTGGGGTTTCAGGTCAGGTCACTTTGTGGGACTGGAGCAGTTGGCAAGGTCTCATGAGTGATTTGTAATTATTTATGAAAAGCTAAATTAGACAAGGATATAAATCTTGGTAAGATAAGCATGGCAGCCATGCCATGATACAAAGAGGAGAAAACATATGTAGTGCTTCTCAACATTTGACATGATTTAAAAATTGAGGGAGGAAACATCCCCTAATGAAAGGAAGGAAACCAGGCTTTTACTTGATACTCAAAAAAAAAATTAAAATAATAACCTGCTGTGTTTGAGTATTCAAGAAATGCATCTAAGAATGTATCACAAATTATTAGTGTATTTATCTCTTTTCCCTGGAATTTTTGTGGGTTTTGTTTGCATTTTTTAAAATGTAAACTAGCTTGGTAATTAGGAAAACAGAGATGGCTCAGATTTGCCAGGACTAGTATAGTGCCAGCCAGCAGCTACTGGTTTGTGTTTTCCTGGCATCTCTAGTGTGGTACAAACTGTCTGCAGGTGCAAGAACACTCATAAATATGAGCAAAAATCACCTACATCTTTTTCCTGGGTGAGGTCCTATAAAGGCAAACAAATCAGAATGGGAACAAGAAAAAGTGACCTTTTATTTGCCCATATACATACATATCTCACTCAAGTACTCTCTACCTTACCACTTTGTGGCCATTTTCTCAAGGATTCAAGGCCTAAAGGCAAGGCACGAAGCAGAAAAGGACATTGACTCTACATCTGAGAAGTAAAGGCATACTTTGCATGAGTCAAGGAGCAGAAAAATAGAGATTAAAACATGCACTCGCCAAGCTGAGGAAGCAACACGGTGAAAAGACTTTTAACTACCAAATAATTCCATCCAGGCACACAGTAACTACTACGTGTGTGGCAGCTCTTTTTCCCAACTGATAAGCAACATCCAATGTCCCGGTTCAATCCAGCCTGTGTCCTTTATGGGGACCAGCCACTAGATGGTGACCCTGTCCCAAATCTTACCTTACCCTGATGAGAGGGCAGCGGAACAGACCCAGGCTAACACCACCAATCCCAGCTGCTTGCTCAACTGCACCATGAGAACCAGATGCTTTCATGCAAGTGGGCTGGTCGTCATCCATAAACAGCATTTTAAATGGAGGCACACCCTTCAGAGACTAGGATTTGCTCCAAATACACTTCCCTTGTGACCAATTACCATGAACAGCTCAGGAGGGTAACAACTGCTACACTTCTCATTATTGTTTCAAGGATTTATTTTATTGGTGTGCAATATGAGAAATTTTAAGTGAGAGCTTTGGCTGAAATGCATGCTCATTGCATTTAAGTGAGTGAAGGATGTGGAGGACTCGTTGTTTACTAATGGAGACACACGGGACAAGTTATTCTCCCAGGCCACTCTCTGACATAGTGGCTAAACAAAATATATAGGGAGCAGCAACGTGACTGAGAGGCTGAAGAAAAGCTCCTTCGGTCCTAAGGCTACTGACTACACCAACACTTAAAAACTGCTTTAACACCAGACATGTGACATGCCAAGGAGGATGGCTGCCATTTTATTCATCCAAAGACTACACAAGGGCTCACTTCCAAGATCAATTTACTGAGACCTTTTTACCAGCTTTACTAGCAGCTCTCTAATTTGGTCTGCCTCGTAAGATCTCCTTTCTGTGCTGCTACATGCTGTAGGGCTCATCACACAGGGCTAAGGCAGCTGGTATGTTTTAGACTCCTGAGTATACCTAGTACACTCCTGAAATATTAGTGTAATTTATGAGGGTGTCC